AATGAATGAATGAATGAATGAATGAAAACTGGGGCTAAGGAAAGTAAAAAATTTAAAAATAAAACTCGGTTTTCTGAGTTGATGGAAACCTCCAATTTGGGTTCTGAGATTGGGTCTTCCCTACCCCGCAGGCTTCAGGTTCCCTCTTAGTAAACACCTAGTCAGAAGGGTTCCTGTATTCCTTATAGAAAAAGTGGCCTTCTCCCTTTCTGGTCCACCAAATTTGCTTTAGAGACACTTCCAAGGGTTCTGCCCTTTACTGCCACCCTCCTCTTGCTGAACCTCTTCCTGCTTTATGCCAGTCCATCTCTCCAACTTTCCAACCTTTCCTGACCATTCCCAACCCTTTCTTACCCTTCCCATCCCACAGACCTATGGCCACTCCCTGGGGTCATGGTGGCAAAGGCAAGTCTAATGTACCCTGCTCACCAGATAAGTACAATGACCCTCCCCAACCCCAGCAAATACATACTCTCCAGGGTAAGGTTCTTCGATGCCTAGAGAGCAATCAAATGAACACCTAAAAGTTAATCTCTGAACACTCCCAGTTTATCTACATTCTGTCCCCTACTCCATGACCCCTCTTTTCCATCCACCCCTGCCCTTTGTCCAGGGAACCAGAGCCCAGTGGCCCAGGTAAGGATTGCAAAGGCAATCACGTGGGATATCCGTTGTAAAATGGGGCCTCGTGCAGGGATCACATCCCACTTTCCTGGCTCTACAATCTCCTGTCTACTTAAGGATTATGCTTGCTAATGGAAAGAAAAATAGGAGTGATCACTCACAAAGGCTTAGTCTCTGCCACACACACACACACACACACACACACACACACACACACACACACATACACACACAGATATACACACACACTCCAACCCCAGTACTCAAAGGAGACATGTGGCTCTCCCTGGTGTCAGGGGCCTGTGTCACAGCAGTGAGATGAGGAGGTGATGGAGGAACCTGGCTGGGGAAGGTTTCCCTATGGGTTTTTCAGGGCTGAGCCCCAGAAGGGTGTTTATGGGTGTCTAAAGGGGGTCAAGGACTCACTGGGACTGAGGTCTAAGCATTGTTAAAAGGCCAACTCACCTGCTGGAAAGGATTCCTGATCATTAGGATATCTGATGTGAAGAATTTCTAGGTGAGAAGAAGTCAGGTCAACCGAGCAGGGTATCCTTCTAGTCACCCTTAGGCCTGAACTGTTGAAACAGACAAGCTTCGTGCACCCCCTATTGGGCAGGAAATGACTTGCAGACACGCCTGTGAGGTTAGCCTTTGGAATCTAACTCCATTTAGTTCACACTTGTCAACACTTTCAAAACATAATTTTGAAGTTTCAGTTCAGTCACTGACCCCACAAAATTGAAGACTTCATACTCATTCCATCTACAGCCAGTGATAGGAAGTCTCTCACAGCAGGACCCACCTTCACCAGATGTTGCAGGGAGGACTCTATAGTGAACAGTGAGTGTGTGTGTGTGAGTGTGAGAAAGAGAGAGAGAGAGAGAGAGATCCTATATAATAAAAGGATAATATGCAAATTGACTGAACGGCACAACAACCGTTTGCTATGACGCAGACTGACCACCAGGGGACAAATGCTCAATGTAGGAGCTGCCCCTTGGTGGTCAGTGCACTCCCACAGGGGCAGCACTGCTCAGCCAGAAGCCCGGCTCACGGCTGGTGAGCACAGTGGGGCAGCACTAAGGTTGTCCAACTGACGGGGAGCAGTCTTAAGCTAGCAGTTGGATATCCCTCGAGGGCTCCCATTCTGCAAAATCGTGCAGGCCAGGCTGAGCGGTCCCACCCCTTGCCTCCCCACCCCAAGTGCACGAATATCATTCACCAGGCCTCTAGTATACTAGAGGGCAAAGTTCGTGCACGGGGGAGGGTGTGTCCCTCAAACCAGCCTGCACCCTCTCCAATCTGGGACCCCTCGGGGGATGTCCTACTCTACTCACAATCCAGGACTGCTGGCTCCTACCTGCTCGCCTGCCTGCTTGCCTGATTGCCCCTAACTGCTTCTGCCTGCCAGCCTGATCACCCCCTAACTGCTCCCCTGCCATCCTGATTGACGCCTAACTGCTCCCCTGCTGGCCTGATCACCCCAACTGCCTTCCCCTGCTGGCCTGATGGCTCCCAACTGCCCTACCCTGCTGGCCTGGTCACCCCTAACTGCCCTCCCCTGCTGGCCTGATCTTGCCCCTAACTGCCCTCCCCTGCTGGCCTGGTCTCCCCCAACTGCCCTCCCCTGCTAGCCATCTTGTGGTGACCATCTTGTGGTGACCATCTTGTGGTGACCATCTTTTGGTGGCCATCTTACAGTGGCCATCTTGTGATGACATCGCACAATGCCACCTAGGCTTTTATTTTATAGGACAGTGATGGCGAACCTTTCGAGCTCAGCATGACAGCATTTTGAAAAACCCTACCTTAACTCTGGTGCCATGTCACATATAGAAATTTCTTGATATCTGCAACCATAGTAAAACAAAGGCTTATATTTTTGATATTTATTTTATATATTTAAATACCATTTGACAAAGAAAAAAAACAAACAAAAAATGAGTTTGCGTGTCACCTCTGACATGCATGTCATAGGTTCACCATCACTGATATAGGATAAAGAGAGAGACAGAGATAGAGATAGAGATAGAGATAGAGATAGAGATAGAGATAGAGAGATAGAAGTGGAAAGTGTTCTGTATGGGGAGTTCAGCCCCTGATCTCTGAGGAGCTGGACCCCTCCTCAGGTTGGCTTCTCCCTTGGACTCCACATTTGAGCAGGAGAGGCCAAGGACCCTGAGCTGGTTGTGTTTACAACATCCACTATTCGACCCTGTTTGTAGTTATATTTGATGCAAATGGTTCTCCCGTGTGAAGTTGGAACCCACTGTGTATTGTAGAGAGGTGCATCTTGATGCAGGTGAGGGAGGGAGTGATGCAGACACAATTCTGCATTTATGGTTAGGGCTCTGCCTCTGCAGTTTTGTTTGTGGTTGTGCCGATATGTTATGGCCTTTACCGTGGGGGTATGTGTAACCTGGGAGGTCTCTGTGGCTCCCCCAGGTGAGCTTCTGAGAGTGGGGGGAACCTTGAATAGAGATGGGTGGTTGTAGGATCATGCTTCGCCCAGCACTAAGCACACCTCCACATTGGGGACCCCTTTTGTCTCTCTGCCACCCAGAGCAACAATTCAGTGGGATCTTGCTTGGAGGTGGCTGTGGTTAGTGGTGATGTATGCACTGGACAGCTGGGAAAGGCTGCTTCACTCTCTGAACAGGTAGAAAGGCCAAGGTTGCTTGATGATGGTCTCCCCTTCCCATTTCTCTTCCCAGGAAAAGCAGGCCCCCATGCCCCACTGCCTCCTTCAGCCTCTGCTTACCCCATTCTCTGCCATAGAAAACCAGCTGCTTCCTCGTATAGGCCAGCACCGAGCCCTTCGGCAGAGTCAACGTCTTCTTTCTCACTTTGAGACCTCCTCCCTGTCCTTCACCCTGGGAATAGAAGCCAGGTGACACCGTCATACATGCATGTCGTTTTAAAGTCAAAAACATCTAGAAAGCTCATGAGAAAAGGAATCAGCAGCCCCCTGTCCCCCGCACCACTCCTGGTTTCTAGTTCCTGCTCTTTTTTCCTTATTTCATCCATGTTTACCTTCACATCCCTCAATTTCATGTTGGTACTGCAATGATTTGATTTTTCAGATTCAAGTACATCTAGTCACTTCCTCTTGTTGATGAAGCTTTCATTTTCCTACTCTTTATAGGAGCCAAAGCAATTGATAAAAGAGTAATACCCAACTCCAACCTCTTCTAATCTTCCATGCAGGGCAAGGGCATCATCCAAATCTAGTTTCCTCTACCCTCCTGCCACCTCCAAGAGGGGAGAGAGCACTGAGAAGCTCTTGGGAGTCCACAGCCCAGGGCACAGGCTCACTAAAAAGAAAATGCTGGGACCCATTCATAGGACTATAGAGTGCTTCCCTTCTCATACATCTGCCGCCATATCACTAAAGGCCGATTTACCAGAGTTCCTTTATCACATGTATCATGTCCAACTTTCAACAAAAACAAAAATTACTAGGCATATTCAAAGGCAACAAACACCATTTTAAAAGACAGGTCAAGCTGAGAATCAGACTCAGTTATAACACAGATATTGGAATTCTTAGCCTGGGAATTTTAAACCACTGTGATTAGTTTGCTAAGAGAGCTAATAGAAAACAGACAAAATGCAAGAGCAGATGGGTAATGTAAGCAGAGAGATGAAAATTATAAGAAAAAAATCAGAAAGAAATGCTAGAGAGATAAGAATACTACAAGAGAAATAAAGAAACCCTTTGTTTGGCTCATTAGTAGACTGGACACAAGTGAGAGAAAAACCTCTGCACTTGAGGAAATCTCAACACTGAAAAGCAAAGAGAAAAATTACTAAAAAAAATAAAGCATAATATCCAAGAACTGTGGGACAACTACAAAAGTTGTAACATACATGTAATGGTAATATAAGGAGAAGAGAAAGGAACAGAAGAAATATTTGAAACAATAATAACTGAGGATTTCCCCCAAGTTAATGTCAGACATGAAATCACAGATCTGGGAAGCTCAGAGAACTCCAAGCAATAAAAATAAAGTTTAAAATTTTAGACCTATGAATTCAAACTGCAAAAAACGACAGATAAAGAAAATATATTAAAAGTAAGGGGATATTGAAAGAAGTCAGATATTTCTTGTTTGCTGTTATTTCCACTAATTTTGTGGGGGAGGGCTTTATGATTTTATACCTTGTTCAATAGGAACATAACAATAAGGTATTTGAGGATACAAGTAAGACTCAATATCTTGCTATAAAAGCAAAATGGATTTTAGTTCTACAAAAAAAAATAGTTTGAGATTTGTAAAGCTTTTTTGTTATTAGGTAGTTCTTCCATTTAATTTCTATTGTGGTAAAAAAAAAACACCAAAAATGTAGTATTTCACCAATTTTAGGTGTACAGTACAGTATTGTATTTTCATTTTCATTTATCTAGAGATATTTTCTGATCTCCCTCATGGTATCTTCTTTGACCCATGGGAGGTTCAACAGTGTATTTCTTAGTGTCCATATATTTGTGAATTTGTTAGTTTTCCATTTGTTATTGATCTCTAGTTTCATTCCACTGTGGCAGAAAAGATATCTGGTGTAACTGCAGGCTTCTTAAACTTGGTCAGACTGATAAGGTGTCTGGAGAACGTTCCAGGTGTGCGTGGGGAGAACGTGTGTGCTACTCAGCAGCATGTCCTGTCTCTGTCTGTTAGGGAATATAGTTCAATTAATCTACATGGTGCTGCTCAAGTCCTCCATTTCCTTATTGATCTTTTGTCTGATTGACCAAAACAAAATTGATGCAACCATGACCAAGGTGATACACAAACTGTTTAACAACATCACAGCCCGTGGCCAACACTTAGCACCTGTGTGTCTGGGAAGAGCTGTGACAGTGGTGGGGGGTTGTGGGGGGGGGTGACCCAAGATTGTCTCCTGTTCTCAGGAAGCCAGTTTCACAGCCAAAGCAGATGGAAACCGAAAGCTGAAAATCAAACACCCTTCACACTGGAGCAATGTTTCACTTGTTCAAACTCCCCTCCTCTGAGACAAAATCACCGACCTTGGGGAAATTAGTTCACAGTCCCGTTTTTTTCCTTGAGTTTCTAATTCTTCTAAGTGAGGAAAAACTACACATAAAATATATAATGTGTAAGAGCACATTGTAACACACACTATCTGATAAATGAATTTACTTATATAATTGAAAGTACTATCGTTGGTTTTTGTGAGTGAGTTATATCATTTCTATGAGCCTGAAGGCATTTAAATCTCCCGCCTGCTACCCATCCTTCTCAGGAATCCACGGCATTTAGGGAACTTCAACCACTGAGGTTTGGTAGTGGGGTCTCCCATTTCTTCCAGCATAAAACCCCTTTAGATTTGCCAGAATCCATCCCTTACCCAAAGCAAATGTAATGCCACATAATTAAATCTACTTCCTATTTTATCGATCAGTGTCCCCACCTCATACCTTGAAAAATATATTCAGAGAAAGGAAGAATTTCCCTGAGACGTTCGCGCTGCTGAGATCCGGCAGCACAGGGCTGTTGCGCAGCTCCACGGTGTCGGTCACAACAAACAGATTCATCCTTGCTTCCCGGCACTGCTTCAGGAGGGCTGGCTCTGGGTCCAGCAGTTTCCTGCAGGGAAGAGAGGGTCAGAGTGGGAAGAGATGCCTTCCCAGGTGGCCCTGGGTCACCCTCCTCCTCAGGACCTGGAAGGAGTGTTCCTGCCACAGGCAGAAAGATCCTGGCACATGGGGTACGTTACCAAGGAAAGTGAAACATCTTCTTTGCTACGCAGGGTGGAGGGGCCCCCATTTTCTGATGGGGACGTGGGAAGGAGAGTACTCAGGCCATTTTGTGAAAGGCATCAGAATTTTCCAAAATTATATTGGTCCTGTTAGAGGGCAGTTTATAGATGCCCAGTGCCTGGGCCTCCCACCTGAAGAGGCCGGGAGTGGACAGGTGCACTTGGTTGAGGAAGGATGAGAACCACTGCTCTAGAGGCACAGCAGGGTGGGGTGGGGCAAACAGATAAACGTGATGAAGCAGGAGGTGCTGGATGACTTTCCAGGACAAGCACATGGGGATGTGGACAGGTGGCTGGGAGGGCTGCCATGAAGATGCAGGTCTGAGTGGGGACATGACGGGTTGAAAGTACTGAAGACAGATTTTATCTGCATTTCCATTCTCAGGCTCAACTCTCATTCCACTAAAGGCCCCACTGGGTTGGCGCCCTGTAGAGAGCGGAGGGAAATACTCAGAGATCCTTGCATTGCTTTTCAGTGGAAGAGGTCACTGAGCCTCCAGTGTGGTTTTTCCTGTCACCCTTTGTGAGTCAAGGCCCTTACCGTGTGTCTAAGATGTTGTGTCATCTGACATTCACTCACCTCCAAGCCTCACTTCTGTCACCTTCATCCTGGTTGGCTAAGCTCCCACCTCACTGACTTCCTGTGGCTCCTGGAAATGCCAAGCTGGTCCTGGTCCAGGCTTCAGACCCCTCATCTGGACCACTTTCCTCCTGCTCTTTGCTCCCTTTATTCTGCAGGTCTCAGTTCAACTGTTAGCTCCACAGAGAGACCTAAATAGGCCCCTCCCTCCAGCCCCTCTTCCACCAGCTCCTGACACTACCCACATCCATTTATCAAAAGTGTCTCACTGCCTTTCTTTTCACATTTCAAATCTGACCTCAGACAGACTTTTTTTCCTTGGTGCTAGATAATAAAAAGTGTCCCTCAAATTGGAGCCTCTTCAACTGCTGAAAAATTTCTAGGACAATTTTTATTTTATTTTCCTGCAGCTAAAACCCAAATACTCTTTTACACCATAAAGTCTTTGTAAATGTTAGTTCTAATAAGTCTTACAAGACACCAGGAGAAACTGTGCCAGGCCCGGTCAAAGTAGCTTTCAGTCTCCAATAGCCTGGGATTTTCATTAGTTGCTTTAGTATTTCTTTGCACTGATAGAAATACTATTTAGGCCTGGCCTGTGTTGCTCAGTGGTTCTGTGTCAACCTATGAACCAGGAGGTCACAGTTCAAATCTGGATCGGGGCACATGCCCGGATTGCAGGCTCGATCCCCAGTAGGGGTTTTCAAGAGGCAGCCAATCAATGATTCTCTCTCATTATTGATGTTCTATCACTGTCTCCCTCTCCCTTCCTCTCTGAAATGACTAAAAATATTTTTTAAAAGAAAAAATACTCTTTAAATTAAAATCTCTGTTTCTAAAAGGTCTTTTCCCACAGGCACTGAGATAAATTAAATTCTAAGACTCTGAGCCATACTTTGTTTAAACAGAGTTTCAGAGCCTTTGCCTCACTTAAATTAATACTTTAACTTATTTTTTATTGCTTATTTTTCTCACTCACTGCATGTCCCCTGCCCCAGAAAATATGTTTTAGGGCAGGGATTTTTATCTGTCTTGTTATTACTCTAGTCTCACCACAAAACAGCATAGTAATGGACAACCGCAGCTTTTTCTTTTTTTAATATATTTTTATTTATTTCAAAGAGGAAGGGAGAGGGAGAGGGAGAGATAAATAGAAACATCAATGAGGAGAATCATTTATCAGCTGCCTCCTGCACGCCCCCCACTGGGGATCGAGCCTGCAACCCAGGCATGTGCCCTGATCGGGAATCGAACCGTGACCTCCTGGTTCATAGATCAACTCTCAATCACTGAGCCACAGCAGCCAGGTGACAACTTCACATTTAATGAAGACTTATTAGATAACTAATCACTGTTTGATGAAGGAATGAACAGGTGAACGTCCAAAAAGGGCAGCGTGATCTGGGGTGTCATTTTCCTCATTCTGAGCCTCTTTGCCCACAAGGAGAGCTCCGCGTGGGGCCCATTGACCAGGTCCCTCCCCCTGTCCTCACCTCTTCTGAAGCTCTGGCCAGGATTTGTGTGGGGTGCTAACAATCTGGATGTCAAGGGAGGACTCTTGACACGCAGCAGTCTCCCCCGAGAAGCCCGCTTCTGCCCCAGCATTCACGCTCCCAGCCGCCTGCTGCTTCGAGACCTCAGTGTCACTGAACAGGACAGACACCACAGCAGCATCTGGAAACAAACAAGGTACCTGAGGTTCAGCCAAGAATTCCCTCTGGAACAGCTGGGAAATGGCACGAAAACCGAACGACTGAGCCCCAGCTTGCCCCAGCTCTCCCCCTCAACCAAATCTCTCAACCGAGAAGCTAACTCATCAGCCAACATTTTGAGTGTAAATTACTCCTGAGGATGTTTGGCTCCACCCAGGGGCTGGATAACAGGGATACTGTCCTAACCCTAAGGAATGATGAGGTCCCCTGTGTGGGTGTCTCAGCATGTCTTGCCGGCTGCACCCCTTCTCCCTGCACCCTTGTTTTGCAGCCCCTGCCTCCTATGCCCCTGGCTGACAATACCTGGGACCGAAGAACCTGGTTCAAGGATGTCCATGAGGGAGGCGTCAAGTAAGACATCAGGTCGTTGCCAAAACCAAGAGCGAGCCTTCTTCCTCTGTATTAGAGAAAACCGGCGTATCTTGGTGGCGCTCAGCAAGGTTTTGACAGGTCTGAGCTCTTGGTCTCCGATCTCTTTGACCAATTTCTTGGTAGTTCTCTCAAACGTGGAGGGCATGTTGCTAGAGGCAGAGAGAAGGGAAGCACAAAATCAGCTGGATCTTACAGATTAGATTAACACATAGTTTGCGGGTAGTTTTTATCTCGCCCTAACAGGTGGTGCGGGCCATTTTTGCTAATTTTTTGCGCAAATGGCAACGTTCAGTAAAATTACGATAACTTTAGTTTACGTATTTATACATTACCTGCATTCTACCTCTAGTCTATAAAAAACATATTAATACGTGTCCCGCGCTCTACTACACTGGTAGAACGTATAAATACGTAAAACGTATAAATACGTTTCCTGCATACAATGTGTTAAAAGAGTTTTCCCGTGTCATGTAGAGAGAGTTGGCAGTGGCTTGACTATGTCATAGGCCTTTGTCGTATATTCACAGTGAAGTCACATGCATGTGCAAATGACTCCCGTTAGCTCTAATGGGCCCTGGATCTTCCTTAGATAACTGTCCTCAGGATGGTCTTTAGTGAACAGATGAGATACCGAGACCTGAGTCCCTGCTGCATCAGGGGACCAATGAGCACTTGCTTAACTTGTTGGAAGTGACGAAGAGGAGGTAAGTTCCCCTCCAAAACCAAATGTACGCACTTCCTTATGCCACCACAGTTCCCATCAAGCTGGCCACACTGTACGATGGTTAGTCCCCTTGGAGGACTGATTGTTAGTGTGTGTGAACTACCTGTGTTCAGTGCTGCAAAGCCCTTGCTTTTTAAGATCTTACCAAGTCTTGCTGTGACTGAAACAGAACAAGAGTGTGGCTGTCGCAAAGGTGGGCATGAGATGGTTAAATAAAAGCCCAGATGCCTGCATTGTTGTGCTAAGTGGACCATGATTCACCAGAAAATTATGAAGTGTCAGGAGCTTTGGATAGGTAATTGTCAAATTGTTATCGTCAACCTATACTCATAAACCTGTAGTCTTCGACCTGTAGCAGTCCACCTGTAGTCCTCAACCTGAATGACACTCTCATTCTGCCTTTAAACACTTTCCATTTCAAAGAATGACGTCAGTAAGGTGGCAGAACAGGACCTCTTAGCCCTCATCCCTCCACGGAAACAACAGTTCTGACAACCATCTGTGGACCAGAGTTCCTCTGTGGGAGCCTAGAGTCCAGCGGATCAAAATCTCCAGGAATGGATGCACTGGAAAATGGAAGCAGAGCAGTTTCACTTCCCCATGTCACCCCTCTTCTGAGGCAGCACAATTCAGTCAAGAATAACCCCCAGGTCC